TGGCACTCGACGATGCATAAGTGGGTTTTGGGTTGCAGTTTGGGCACTCAGTCTCTAAAAGGTTCGTCATCACTGTCATAGGCTATTACAGTATAGTAAACATAGTGTTGAAAGAAGTCTTCATCCTGGTTCATCCAAGCTGGGGATAAATAAACAACATGGCGACTGCTTTAGAAAGAAGGTTGCAGTTTATTGAAGAGCCAGACAGAAAGATGGTTCTGGCTAGTGAGAGAAGACAAAAAGGAAAAAAGGACTGAGCACATGTGGAGTAGGTTTTTATACTCTCTGAAAGCCTTTTGTTTGGAATGGTTTCCTGTTCCTGTGGCATGAACTTTGAGGCTACTTCCTGTGTCACGTATTCTGACCTGAGTCTAGGTATGCCTCTCTGATATTCTTAATGGTGATGGGTTAGTCCTATTATGTCCCATCTCAGGTGGGGTATGCAGATTTTAGGTCTTTGTCTTCTTGATCTCCTAGCTGGGGCCTTTCTGATGGTTTTCATCTGCATTTGTACAGAGCTGGCTTCTGCTTGGGACAGAGAGATTTGGGGGCAGGGTTGGCTTCTGCTTTTAAAATCCTTTGGAGGAAATATATTTTTCTGCCCTTTTAATATTTCCTTCTCTGGGGGGCTGACTTCTCTCAATAGGTAGTCCTTTATTTACAACCATTTAATTAGTGACCACTCAAAGTTTCAAGAAGTCTTGATGCGCAGTGGTTAGAATGCAGCATTGCAGGCAAACTCTGCCTGCAGTCTAGAGTTTGATCTTGAAGGGGCTTAAGGATAACTCAACCTTTCATCCTTCCAAGGTTAGTAAAACAAGGATCCAGATTGTTGGTGGCAATATGCTGACACTGTAAACCACCCAGAGAGTTCTGTAAATTATTATGGGGCTGTATATAAGTACTAAATACTATTGCTATTCAATATTCAATAGCACTGAAAAAAGTGACTTGCAATTGGTCCTTACACTTACAACCATGGTAGTGTCTCCATGATTACGTGATCAAAATTTGCACACTCTGCAACCAGCATGTATTTATGATGGTTGCAGCACCCTGGGGTCATGTCATTATCCTTTGTGACTTTCCCAGCAGGCTTCCATCAAGCAAATGGGAGAATCTGGATTCACTTAATTACCATGTAATTAACTGAACGTATGTGGTTAAAAATACATTGTAGAATGGAACGCAGCTTACTTAACAACCACCTCATTTAGCAACAGAAGATCCCAGCCCAATTGTGGTTGTAAATCAAGGACTACCTTTATATAGTGGTGATAACACAAAACATTGTTTTAAAAAATGCACAAGTAAAACAATGTCCTCTCATTAATAAGCCACATTACCATGACTTATATGAAGAAAAACAAATGGTCAGGGAATGGATTTCTGAATTCCCAGTAAATGCTTACTTTTTAATAAAGTGTTTGGATATTTTCTTATTTTAAATTCAAGTAGGGCACTTCCTGCATTGTTCAGTATGATTTTCCTGTTTATTTATTCTCTGTGGACAGCCTGAAGGTTGTTGCGAAATGACTAACACAAAGGCAATTGATTTAAATGTGAATCTCAGTTTCATTTCCCTTTCTCCAGGCACAGTTTAACATTAAATGAATCAGTCTTCCATTTGCTTTGCAAGCCCAAGCATTTTGCTTGTGGAAACCAAATGAAGTCTAAGGTTTGGGTACTTTACATTTTTAAAAGATCAGAACTATCAGAAAGACCAGAAAATCAGAACGCTTCCTGTCTCCCATATTTTAGATAAAATATATGAGGAAAGAGACTGAAAAATAGCTTCATTTAAATAGCCAACAGTACCAAATATTCTGCAATATGTATTAAAGAAGGATTACTTATTTTCTATATTATATGTCTGAGTTTTCTTATTCCTAGCATTTTCCTGCAAGATTAAAAATATCAATGCAGATTAAATTTTTTAGTGTTTGACTATCTACATCAAGTTATTTACTCAGAATTCCGTATATTTTATCAGGGGAATCTGTTTAGACTATTAAAACAGAGGTCCACAACCTTTTGGGCACCAGGGACCGGTTCCATGGAGAAAGGTTTTTCCACAGACTGGAGAGTGCGTGGTTTTGTATGCTGCCTGCATCCTGCAAATGGGCTTTGCTTGTTTGTGCGGACCAGTTGCTGGCATGCCATAGCCCGGTACTGGTCCATGTATTGGAGGTTGGGGACCCCTGATCTAGAAGATTAAAGACAACTAATTTATTACTACATCTTAGCACTGGAGAAGGAAATGTCTTAAGACTTATGCAATCATATAAATTCTTGACTGTATTTAAAAGAATTCAGCTAGCCTGTTTAATAAATGCTTATTAACTGCATGGCCGACAACCACAAATGAAAGCTCTATATAGAAACTCTTCTGTAAAAATGATTACATTTATGCATTGCTGTGATGAATTTGGAGAAAATCCCAGAGCTGGGATAAACTTGTCTGTCTGCGGTTTTATTCATTTTCTATTCTTAGGTAAGCAAAAAAATGCATTTCTCCTTCAATTATGTGGCATGAGGTACAAAGAAGAATTAAAACAACAGAATTCAAATATTGTGCTAAGTCATAATGCGATTTGATTGATTTTGACTTGACAAATTATGTGTATCCTATCATTATGGTTTTAAACCATAGTTTATAGTTTAGTATACTGTGCAGATTTAGCCAATTGCAAATTAATGAATTAATTTATAGTTAATTCATAGGGTTGTTTTAACACTATGCATGAATCCAGTCTCTTTGAAAAGTTCAGTACTTTTGCATATTCCTCCTGTTGCTGCTAAGTTACTGGGCCAATTAAGACCAATGCATACAATATTGGTGAATCAGAAACATCAAGTTCCTTTGCCTATAATATCTTCTCAATTTATTCCAACTTTTTATTATACTATAGGCTTTTGTTTTAATTTTGTAATTGTGTGACTTTCAAATAGTTTGTGCTTCCTTTCACCTTCAAAAGCTTTCCCCAAAGGGGAAATGAGTGAAAGCAGAAAGAATTGTTCCATATACCCAGTCTGTGAAGTAGAATTTATAATGTACAACTTCTGCACTTTAAAGGAAAGAGGAAGATGGTTATTGTTGTGGGGAAAACAGGAGAAGGGAGTAATTTGGTATGTTCACTGCTTCAAGTTACTTATAAAGTAATAAAGGAGAGATAAAAATTGAATAAATAAATTGCAGCCTCCCCTTATTTAAGTCTCTTGCCTACAAGTCTACCACCCAGTTCAGGTGATGGATGAAGAGAAACACTTCCATTCTGTTGCTCACTTATCAGTTTGCTTAAAATAATCTTTTAAAAACTTATACATAGGTATCAAATCTTTCAGTAATTACCTATGAAAAGAAATTATCTTTGACTGCTCTAAATTTCCTATTCATCATTTTAT